ATCTTGAGTGAAGACATCGGCCAATGCACGGTGCTTGGTGCGGTACTCTTTGTACTTAGAGGCTACCTTCCCAAAGACGGTCATCCTCTGTTCATCCCTCCGATCGTGCTCAATCTCCATGATGAGAGTCTGACATGCAGTAGAAAGAAAGTAGACTTAAGTAGATTATGCATACAAAACATATCCAAAAAAAGGGAGAGTGAAAACACTTACCCGCAAAGCCATGCTGGAAATACTCCGCGATAGGCGTCACTCATCGCTTGAAGCGACGTGTTCTTGGAAGCAGCACATAAAAGGGAAAATGCCGACACTACCTGCTCGGAGTTCGCCAAAAGATAGTAATCCACGGGAATGATTACGTATCGGTTAGGACCCTCCGTCCTCACTTCCACACGGCTATTTCTCTCCAAGAAGGCCCGCACATCTTCAGGATCGATGTCCGAACCTGAACCATCATCCTCAGCAAGCACCGCTCCACCCCCTCCGGCAGCAGGCGACATGCCACCTTCAGCAGATCGTACAGATCTCCCGTCTTGGCATGTCTCTTCGGCCCTAGGTGACCTACCCGCCAAAATGGCGTCCGCCATGGAAACGGCCCCTGTTCCTGACCTAGGCGAAGACGCCACTCCTGAAGCAATGATTTTCCTCTTTTCAACGCCAGTGGCGATAACCTTCCCAAGCTCCACCCTCCTCCTCTTTCTCGACGGCGATTCATCTCCGTTGGAAGACTCATCTACGAGGTGGTAGGTAGGACGGGAAGAGATCTCGTCCCGTACAACGACATCCCAAGAAGGGTCCCTTGTTGTCAAAATCTGAGTATGACCTCCACGGACGGACTCGGCTTTAGTAAATTGCATCCCCGCTGATGCAATGGCCTGGCAAAATGCCGGGACTGGAGCCTTCTTTTTGGAAATCCGTCAGCCTGTCACCACAAAGGGATCGTATCAATAAATGATAGCAAACAGACGAAGGTCGGAGAAAAAGTAATACTTACCAGACGGAACCTTCGGTCCAAAATGTTTGAAGAAAGCGGCCCAATCTCGAATCCCCACCATATAAGGTAGCACGCGAGCTACCCAATCCTCAATGCCGACGACAGAAAAAGGTGCACGCCTCTCAGCTGCACGAAAAAATCACGAATGAATAAAAAATAGAAAGAACGAAAGTAGATAACAAGCATACTTCAACGACACCTATGATTCCACTGCACAGGAAATCCATCAGGGTCCGACACCAAGTGCTCCGTTTTGATGAAAAAAATACTTGTGCCAAAACATTCGGCTCGCCCTGTCATCCGTTCCAACCACCAACCCCCTGGTCCCATGATGTCGCAAATGTATCATGGTACCTCTATGAAAGCTCGGGGAAAATAAATGTAAAAGGTGGCGGATGTCAACCTCACACCCAGCCAACTCTGCATACTTCGTCAGCATCAAAAAGATTTTATATAAGTACGGAGACAGCTGTGCCGGGCAGACTTCGTAAAACCGACAGAACTCCTCCGCCAACGGAAGAAGAGGGAGGGTGTGACCAATAACGAAAGGATACACATAAAAAGCACAATATCCAGGTCTGTGGACCTCTACGATGTCCCCCCCAGCTGGAACCATCTCAGCGTGAGGAGGAATATGGTATGTAGACCGGAGTTCATCTATCTGAGATGGCCCGGTTTCAGAAATCACCGGAACGGGAGAAGGTGCAGGTTCCTTATGGAAATCGTTCCTGGACAAAGGGTTTCTGGGGAGTATCTCCTCTACGATAGGGAAACTATCACCCTCCTCAGCCGCGATATCCTCGCCACCGGAAGGAGGGGCCACTGACAACGGAGTGGCATCGGAAACTTCATCATGTGCATGAAAGGTTCGAGACATCTCGATAACAGAGGGTGTGCTAGTAAACCTGAAGGAGAGACGATGACTAAACAGGAAAATGGTAAGTAGAATCGCAGAAATGGAGCTAAGAACTGAGAAAGATGATCAAAGGAGAATAATGTACACACGAGGAAGGAGATGGTGAAAATTTTTGAAAAAAAGGAAACCCTCACCTATTTATAGGGATGGGTGGCGTGAGAATCGAAGCAGAGGACTTGATGATAGGCTATAATTGCATATTTTAGTCGCTTATTACACTCGAATTTACTGCACTTTAATTGAGTTTGCGCTTTAATCGCTAGTGTTTTGCACTAATTGTGTGTTTTATGCCTTGTAGGTGTGATTCCGAGCTATATAGATGTCATGGAATGATTTTAAGTGATTTGAAGCTTTGAAGTCTGAGTAAAAGCTCAAGGAATTAAGCCGGGATCGTGTTCGGGGGTCAAATTTGATAATTAAGTACGAAAGAAGACTTGAGGAGGCATATTGCGCACTGTCTAGTAAAATAGACATAACTTTTTTCTCAGAACTCCATTTGGGCTCCACAATATATGGTTGGAAAGATAATTTAAAGGGCTACAACTTTCATATTTTACGTTTTTCCAAATTCCAAACGGAACAGGGTGAAAAACGCGGTCTAAACCGCGACCGCGGAACTGACCGCGACAGAAATCAGAGAGCTTATCTGGCCGCGGTCCTACCGTGTTTTGACCGCGGCCGCGCCCCTCCAGGCGTCAAAAAGAAGTCCTATTTCGCCCGGAACAAGTTTATTTCGGCCCTACACTATTCCAACTTGTATAAAAGGGGTCCTAAACCTATTTTGAAGAAGGAGGGGGACATATTTTGGAACATAGATTCGACCTAAGGAGGCAAGAACACATTGGGAGCAAGGCGGAGAATTCTTCTACGAGTTTTTCCTTCCTCTTCCTATTTTTCATTGTTGGTTATGACTTTTAGTATTGTAGTTTTACATACTATTATGAATAGCTAATTTGTTATCTAGAGTTTTGATAGAACCTTTTGTAGGATAAATTCTTGTTATGTTTTTATATAATTGAGCCATACCTTTTCTCTATTTGTTCAACTACGTTTATATTCTGGTTGATTGAAGAGCTCTCAATTAGCTGTGCCTATTTAGTATGCATAACTCGGGAGAGAGTGCATATTTAGGTAATTGTTGAACAACACCACTCCCAGAGTATATGAGGGATCAATAACCGAGGGTTTAAAGGTGGGATTAGGGATAATGAAGCCTTGGGTGCGATCTGAAGTGAGCTGTATTAAAAGCCAGCTAGCGTAGCTCGGGAGAGTGCGTCTAGTAAATTGTCGTAATTACTCGGGAGAGATTTACGGTAATAAGAGTGCTCATGATCGGTAGAGAATACTTAGGCGAAATTATAGAAGACATAGCGGGAAGGATTCCGACAATAGGGGAAATCATAACTCTAGACCTCCTTAATCTTTTCTCTGACCCTTAGTGTCGTTAGTTGTTAATGTACTATTTTAATTTGTTAGTTAATTAGTTAAACACAAGAATCTTAATATCTATAAGTTAGGAATTGTTCAAGCTTGTCTTCTTGGTGATAGTGAACAGCTGTAGCTAAACCTTAGTTCTCTGTGGGATTCGACTCCGGACTTGTAAATCGGATTATATTTGTAGCGACCGCTTAGTCCTTTTTATAAGGCATAGTTGGGCGTGATCAGGACTGTCAGTGGCGCTAAAACCAAAGCGACAAGCACACAGACGTTGTCTCGGGAAGATGCGTAATGATGACGCGCGTGGTAGTGACGTCACATTTTGATAATCACACCAATCAGGGTTCTGCAGGTTGTGTCGTTCTCTCGATCTTAGTCAACCCGGCGTAATCTAATAGCCAAATTCTCCCACAACCGAAACGAATGATGTCCGCTTACCGAGGACGTGCGGGGCTACAACCTCGACAAACGGAGGGACTAACTGTATAGGTCCAAATTTGGTAACCACGGTAACAGATAAGCAAGACATAGGACGGGGTTGACCACGATACAGAGACTGACGGCCGTCCAAATGAAGGTCGACGACTAGAAGCAGGCAGCTGAGATAGTAACGGTAACTTAAACTGAGAAATAGACAGGAAGAATATTCCTTTGGATATTCTTTATGTTGTACTTTTTAGGGTTTTTTGGGAAATGTCTCTTATAAATAGGAAGAGATGGGGAACAAATGGGGATTTGCCCTTTTTGGAGAACTGAGACATATTGTAAAGTTGAGAGAAGAATATACGAAAGAGTTGTCTTATTCACTTTATTCAAGCACATGTTGTTCAATCTTTATCCATAAATCTCAAGATCCCATAACTCAGATTGACTACTTACCTTTCCACGTCGTTAGAGAAAGGAAACACCCAATCACACTATCATTGGTTGACGATTCCTTTACACTATAACCCTTGTCATTCTCGCATTTATTATACATTTATGATATTACATATCTTGTCAATCATAGCATTTTAAATTCGCTATTTAATGTTCCTAAACCCAATTCGTTATACAAAAGTTTTATTTTACTTGGTCTAGGATTTATTAAGTTCAACTGAGATTCACCCTTTTATTCTTGATTGGTTTAGTAATTATTTGCTCAAACAAGTATTATAGTCTATGGCTCTATATACTAGTTAATATTCAAGCCGAATAAACCGAGATTACCGAACCGAATAAATCGAAATCGGAAGGAGAAAAGGCGAACCACCGAATTTGATTAGGTATGATATTGGTATAGCATTTTAAGAAATCGAATACCGAAAATACCGAACCGAAATGATCAAATACCGTACCGTACCGACCGACGAACATTGCTAGAGAGCACCATAACACATACTACAAACAAATACAAATAAAGTACTAAAGCGTGCATGTTGCTATCCAATACGGACCTGCGGTGCAAATAAACTTTCCCAAATTAAACTAGTACTATTTCTATTTTGGCAGTAGTATATTGTTAATGACGTGAAAGTAGATGCCTTCTGGAATTTTCCATGACCAATAAAGGATAAAGACTAACGCGTAAGGTAAGGGTGCGTTGTGACGGGGTAGGGGGAGGTCGGGGTGGGTGGTTGTCGTCAAGTGGGAGATGGCAAAGCAAATGAAAATGCAAATTGTGATTCCCAGTGGACCAATTGGAGGGACCAATTATCAACCTCACCACCCCCACCTACATCTTACCGTCCATTTTCCTTTTCTTTGATTCTCATCCCTCAATAATATCATTCTTCTCTCTTCGATTCGCTAACTACAGAGTCAGCAAAGCAGGACTCCATCGCCGAAGCAAACCCTAGCTCACGCCTTGTCTTTTCCCTGTTAGGCAAGTGTTTAATTTGATTTCCTTCTTATTTAGCGTATGAGAAACAGATATGTGTTTCTTTTTTGTTTTCTTTTTTCGAATTTATGATCGGATCTTAAGAATGTGAGGAAAGGACCTACAGTTTGTTAAGCATTTGAATTTCACTTTTTTTTTTTGCTCGTAATCATTATAACCAGCTGCATCACAAGATAAGGATTAAAACTTGGCTCAAAAACTAGTTTTTGTTACTTTTTGCCCTCTTTTTTGGGGGGTTGATAATCAGTGAATATTGTCATAATTAGTCCGTTTTAGCTAAGAGCCCAACACTTCAGCATCTTAGTTTCAGCTATCCCAATCTAATATGCTGGATTTTGAGCTCAATGTTGACAACTTGAGCTGGGTAATATAGGATCAATAAGTTAAGCAAGCAGGGAAAACTCATTACTGTTATTAGTTTTGCTTGGTGTCTTACTTTAAGTGATGCTCATATTAAGTGCTATTTTGTTCTGTTAATCGAACGATGCGAATGTACAGGTAGCTAAAATGTCAACTCCATCAAGGAAGAGACTGATGAGGGATTTCAAGAGGTTACAACAGGATCCTCCTGCTGGTATAAGTGGTGCTCCTCAAGACAACAACATCATGCTTTGGAACGCCGTTATATTTGGGTCAGTCTTGTATTAAAGTTCATGAGATATGTGTTTTAAATTTAGTTATACATAGTCTATTGGTACATCTATTTGGCATGGTTGTTTTTCCAGATATAATAAACTAATTTCTGTTTTTTAATTGTTTTTCTGGGTGTGAAATGCAGTCCTGATGATACTCCTTGGGATGGAGGTGAGTTGTACTTTCCTTGCATTACACTGGCCTAAAAGAATGTCTGAACACAGTAGTTTGATATATGCTGTTAGCTTGCTCATGGTTTTGTCTAATTTTATGTGTGGTAGTCTATGCATAGTATGGTGTTTTGATTTTCTAAGTCTGTATTTTTTCTGTCATCTGATTTGTCATTTATGAATTTTCATGCCCTCTGTCCACCCCACACGCAATAATAAAAATAAGAATTTGAAGGAAAAGAGGAAGAGAAAAACAAGTGCAGTTGTAAGTTTTATTTAAATCAGTCAGCAATGGCTGTACCTCGTGCACTAGTTTTTTAAGATCATATTCTCAAGTGCTCTGATGGCAAGAATTTATTTCTTTGATTTCCCGATCTGAGCTTTCTTGTCATGCCATTTCTCTGATTTTCCACCTTATTATCTGTCATCATTCTATTGCTTAATGCCAAAAGCAAGTTAGTGAGTGAGGAAGTGCTGCAACCTTGATCTTCTATGCTATGCTGCAATAGGTTCTCTGCATTTGGTCAAACTCTGGTGTAGGTGATTTAACTATTTGTGCAGCACAGCTGGGCTCATCTACGTGCTTAACTTTTAGAAATATGTATCTTGTCTTATTCTTGCCTAATCTTGTGACAAATGATCTTATTTGCCTGTTGTTGAACCAAAAAATATCCTCTAGTGGGCGTTTCACGTGGTTACATTTGTCTGGACCGACCAAGAAATGCATTACACATTTGAAGCAATTCGAATTTTGTGCTATCCCTTCTGGCGTGTTTGTTATTTGCTCCACAGAAGAAAAGACGCATTCTAAACCTTTTCCTGAATGAATTATGTGTTGAAATCTTCTTTCCCTGACATGAATTTGCTACGTGATCTATCACAATACTATCTGATAACATCAGGTACGTTTAAATTGACGCTTCAATTCTCCGAGGATTATCCCAACAAGCCACCAACAGTGCGATTTGTTTCTCGCATGTTTCATCCAAATAGTAAGTTGGAGTTGAAGTTTTCATTTTCTATTCATCAGAGAATTGGTAAATGAATTCTAATATGGAATATGCTTTCCTTTGTTTTCAGTTTATGCAGATGGAAGTATATGTTTGGATATACTGCAAAACCAGTGGAGTCCAATATATGACGTTGCAGCTATACTTACATCCATTCAGGTAACTATTATTAGATCCTTATAACAATAGTTAAATTGTGATAAGTAGATACTGTAAGCAGTAGCTACAGTTTTGAATTCTGGTAAGGTTGGCTTTTTCTTAAGATAGCTGCATTACACAATTTGGAGCTACTTTTGCATTTCTCGCTTGGGTATTTTCCATGTGAATTCATTAATTTTAAACGAGAAAGCAAGTCTTGAGGAATTATAAAAAGTGATTCCAAAGATTTCATTGTTTCCGGAAGATTTTATGACTCGGTGAGTCAAGCAATTCTCCATAAAATTAGTACGATTCAGAGTGTCCAGAAAGGTTCTCTTTGACACTCTAGACAATGGAAATAGGCTTGTAAAGCTGTCCAAAGAAAGGACTTTTTAGCCAAAGCCAAATTTCAGGCCTTTTATCTAGAGGATGTACACGGGATGCTTTGTGCACCGGGCTCAGGCTGCCTTTTATATATATATATATATCTAGAGGATGTTTTCAAATTTCTTTTTTAAATTTTAACAATTCTTTAATAGCATAGCACTCCGAGAAACGTTTTGAAATACTTTCTTTGGTCAACACAACAAAGTTGACCTAACTGATCCTTTCGTAGCTATTCCCTCTATATGTTTAATATTTGACGGAAAGTCTATTTGTCCAAACAGTACATAAATTTTTCAAATAGCCCGCAAGTATAAGCATGACTTATTATTTGGATAAATGGCTGGTTAGTTATCAACTAGCCCCGTTTGGACATACATTATTTCAACTTCAACTGGAATTATTATTTGCAAATCAGTATTATTTTTTACGGTTCGGCAGTATCTCAACTTCAACGTTGAATTAGGGGATTTGAAGTTGAAAAACTTGTTTGAGGAGCATTTTCAAGTGAATAATGTTTTTTTTTTTTTCCGAAGTGAAATTTCTGTCTGAACATAACTTCAACATCCAAATACTCTTTTTCAACTTAAACCAAATAATATCCAAATGCCTACTTAGCTTTCTTCTTCGGAATTTTTTGCTGTGAGTTTTGAGAACAAGTCTATTTGTTTAGTTCCTAGACAGGCATTTACTCTTGGGTGTTCTGATTGAGGAGTGAGGTAGGAGATCTCGTCATGGATGTTGTTTCTTAGATCAATTCTTTGATTTCTTCGATAGTAGTTAGACATATTGAACCCTCTTTGGGTCTTCCAGTATCAATGAGCTATTGAGTGTTCCAGTGTTCATTTAGCAAGAATTTATTTTCTTTTATCAAGTAATCTTATTCGCGGCATCTTGAGAATGCCACACGGTAGAACAAATAGTAGAAGCAGTGGTAGCTACAAATAAGATCAGGATTTACGCTTCTATGGAATCAATTACTTCCAATACAACACAATCTCAACTTTTGCAAACTAATATTAGGAAACAGGATAGACCCATATCCTACAGAATCCAGGTTTAGGAGTTGCCAGATACTTAGATGAAGAAAAGGGAAGGGTGTGGTGGAAATTGAATTTTAGTTGCTAAACTCCGTGATCTTTCTTCTGACTGATGGATGCTGTGACACATTTCCATTTTCCAATGTCGCATATGCTTGACTCAGTAAGATGAGAAAATTATAAAATCGAGTGACTAGATAGTAGATAGATGTTGGGGGTTGAGGTAGGTTGTGGTGGTTGAGTGGCTGGATTATGTACGGTTACTCCAGTATGTGTGAGAATGTGATGTTATCGTAGAAGGGAACTTTGATTTTACATGTAACGAGCTTATGCCATTCCTCTATTTCTTTTCCCTTGCCTGTAGAAGTAATAATTTGTTAAGTAGCCCTAGGGCTAGTTCAAGTGGCGAAGGTTGAGGGACTTGTGACTTAGGTGATATTTAAGCGGAGAAGGCTACAGGGGCAGACCCATGATCCCTGCGTTCCGAACGCTTCGGTTGGTCCTAAGGGTTGGCCCCTGATGGATTTTGTGGTAAAACAAAACAAAAGATATAATTTGTTAAGTAGGGAGGAGGTGAAAATGATGTTCCTTAAGGTGGTGAGTTGGGAGAGGTATGGTGGTAGTTGCTCTCTACCACTTGAAATTTACATACAGAAGCGCACCACCTTACACCTTCAGAAGAGAACTTAAGGTTTCTGGTTTGCATAAATGATTATAAGTTTTCTTATTCTTGCAGTCATTGCTGTGTGATCCAAACCCTAATTCTCCTGCAAACTCGGAAGCTGCTCGGTTGTTCAGTGAGAATAAGCGGGATTACAACCGAAGAGTTAGAGAAGTTGTGGAGCAGAGCTGGACTGCTGACTGATACCATGGAAGAGAGATGATTGCAACCTCAATCAGGAGCTTTGAGGGCTCGTCTATGTAACACATTCATTCTGGTCCTAGTATAGTTGCTTGATGCTACTCCCTCAATTGTTGTTTGCTGCGTTTGCATCGATAAGCTCCTGTAAATTATGAACTCCGGTATTGTATTTGCTTAGAATGTGTTAGTTGTTTTTCCAACAAAGATGGTTTTCAGATACTTTCATTTTCCCCTCAAACTTTGGATTTTACTTGTAAGCTATGCCGACCTGAATAGACCAGCAATGTGTGTTCATATATTCAAGCGAAGAATAAGCAACGGGCATTTCCCGAGCTTTTGGATCAAAGGCTATCCACTTCGTTTTAGTTATTTAATTAGCAGGTGGCTGTAACATACCAACAATTTCTTTTTACTGATCATCTATTGACATCAGCATTTAGGGTAAGTCTAGTAACGAAACTATTAAAGCTGGGTTTACATAGTTTTGAGTAGGTCTAGCAATACCAAAGCCTGGATTATTACATGGTTCCAGTCGGGTGTTAAATTTCAGCCATTCAACAAATATTGGTGAAAGGGTTGATAACGCATAGAATTGTAGACATTATAACAGCGACTGAAAACTGTAAAAATAGCACGGTCTAGCAAGTTTTTGGACTGGTCATTTAAAAATAGCCAGTGTTTACCAAGTCAATGAAAAATAGTCACTATTTTGCTGCAACAGAGATCGGTCCAGCATAATATACTGGAGTTCGGTGCACCTGTGTATGAACTTCCAGCATATTATGCTGGAACTTCAACACACGGAAAGTTCCAGCATAATATACTGGAGATTCAAGCACTTGTGTATGAACTTCCAACATATTATACTGGACCGGTATACTTTGCTGGAACTCCAGTATATTATGCTGGAGTTCTAGTGTACTTATGCTGGAACTCCATCATATTATGTTGGAGTTCCAGAATACTTATCCTGGAACTCCAGTATAATATGCTGGAGTTCAAGTATACCTATGCTGGAATATACTTGAACTCCAGCATAACATACTGGCGTATTTTTCGGGTTTTGAACAGTGTTTTGGCTCAGATTTATCTTTACATGAAAAGTGGCTAAATTTTGATTACTTTTGAAACTGGACTATTTTTGAACGACCACTTGTAAATTGGTTATTTTTAAATTTCTCCCTCGAAAACCACGATCTAAGTTTTATATTTGGTAAATCTACAATTAATATTGTATTTTTTTTATATAAAATTGTCTATAAAAGAATAATTGTCTTCTGATGGTGATATTAACGAAGTTGTACGGACAAATAAGGAATATGAACGAAGCTGTACGGAAGGACACAGAAAAGTTCACCATCACTGTAAAATACGTTTGGCATGTTATTTATATTCAACATATGCGTCAAAATTTACTTTTTTCTTTTTTTCAATTTTGTGCTCAGCGAAACACAAACGTAAAGTAAATGGAGGAAATATTATAGACAACTTCATTCTGTATGCAATTAATTAGCTCATTCATAACCAAAATAAAGACGCGCATAAGGTGGATTTCTTGAATTAACCTAAATCATTAGTACAATAAAAATGTTTTAAAAGAATTCATATACTAAAAAAGATGTCATTCTAAGCAAATCCAATACCGGAGTTCATAATCTAGTTTGCGTCAACAAGCTCCTCTAGATTAGGAACTCCGTTAGTAATTGCTTAAAATAATCTAGTTGCTATAACGACAAAGATGGTTTTCAGAATTCATATAATATTTCACTGCAAAGAACTGAAGCATGAAAACATTTCCAGTATAATATTGTAAAACCAAATGCAAACATAAACAGATATCTAATGCCCTAAAGTCTAGGGTCAAACTAAGACCAAACAAACCAAACATGACTATTTCGCATGCAAACCCCAAATTGACGACCCTTCTATGATCTATACAAGGAAAGCTTCCTGCTTATAAACACCAATCCAAACAACCATAATAGAAGTATATTCAACATTCTTTCATTTCACACATCTTTCTAAACTTCTGCAGTGTTGATCTCTTCTGACTGTGAAGCATCCTGCAATAAGCGACACTAAAGTTAACTATGTAGTACAAAAGGCATATAATGCAATAAAGAAAAAGAAAATAAAAGTTAGTCCTTACTCAAAAAGCCATGCTTATTATAGGAGGGGGAAGGTGCGTAAAGGTCATTATTTGATCTAATAAGGCAAAGAAATACGATAGTTCACTAAAAACAGAGAGAAACTTAACCCCACTGAGACAAGGCTTTAAGTTTCTGAAACTCAATAATAGAATGACATCAGAAGGGAAGTTAACACCTAATTTTCTCTTCGTACCATATTCTCTTTGTCTTCTGGGAGGACTCTCTCTGGAGTGCATGCATTAGCAGGACCTATGACAAAAAGAAAGTTAATGAATCTCGTTAACACAAACAGCAAGACCTTTTGACTAAGAAAGGTACAAATAGACATTTACCTTCTACTTGAGCAGATTTCTTTCCCTGTCTTTTCACCTTATCCTTAGTTGGTTCTTGCTTAATAGGTTTTTCAAATTTCTTTTTAGTGGCATGACCAGAAACTTCTGTTGTAGATTTCGGAGTTGCAGCAGTCTTATTGACAGATCTACGGGTCTTAGTTGCAATCTCTTTCCTTGATGAAGTCTCCTTAGTTGGTTCTGTCACTTGGCAAGTTTCAATAGCATCTTTGTTCAAGTCTTCCTGTTCCAGTTTCTCAGTGCCAGCAACAGATGAAGAGCTATGCACTTCATCATCAGAAGAACGTGTCCCATCTTCAGGCGCATGGGAACAAGTCTCAGATACTTGCAACTGCTCAAAATCTTGCGAAATATTATAGCCTTCAAACAGTTGCTTCACTGGCTCCCCGAGATCTACAAGGCTATGGCGTTGCACATAGGATTTCAGCTCGTCCCTCAAGCGTTGAAGAGGCTGAAATAATAGTCAGGAAAAAAGTAAGACAAAAGTAGTCTATTCCTAATTTACCAACTACAGGCAGTGTTGAACTTTTCTAAGACCATTGCAATAGAAAAAAGGTGAACGTAGCTGTAAACTGCTGGTAACCAATTGGGAGAAATATATATCTTACCTCACAGCCAGCTTCCAAAGCAAGTTTGAAAAAACCAAGAGAAATGGAATGCTTAGCAGCAGATTCAGAGAGCTTAATCTGGGATAGCCAATAGAGTGCAGAGGAAAGACGATTTCCTTCCTTTCCATTAGATGATTTTGAAACTGCTGAAAGCGGTGTATTAGTTTTCCCCTGGTTGATTGCGGATCTCTTTGCTCTAGCCTCAGAAATAGGAGTGATAATGCCTACTGCTCTTGAGGAGGCAGGGCTGGCACTTGGCTTAGACTGAATAGACAGCCTTCTTGGAGGTTTAGCAGCAGATTTTTCCTTGCCTGAGAGATCAAGGACACTAACACTCTTACTAACGCTTGATGCAGGTTTTCCCCTGAAGAGGTGAAGAAAATTAAGCATGGACATCAGAGGAAACGAATATTTGGCTACTACAAATGAAGTAAGAATAAAATGATTTGGAACAGTAAACATACTAAGAAGTTTCTGCGCTTGTGTACAAGTCATTAGTTTAAATTGTTTGTATTTTTTTTTCTAAGGGGAAAAACAACCATTCTCTGATACTTTACTTAGGTTAGGTTATTCCTTCTCCAAGACCACATTTATCACGACAAAGAATAAGGCTGAAAAACAGAAATCTATCAAACCTTAATTTCTGAGACTGGGTAACATCTCTGTTTTTGTTTATTAACTAAATTTGGTAGGAGGAGTTACTCGATTCCGTACCAGATATTGTCATGCAATTCAAAGAAACAGTTTTAAATGCTATGAATCATGAATGTCTAGTATGCGCTGCAGACTGCAGTAGCATGAAAAAGGACTTTTGAAGGAATACAATCAAAGATGGAAACTCGTCGCAGGATAAGGTATAGGCCAATTAATGAAACATGCCAGCGCATATATGATTGATCTTCATAAACATAGCAGCGAATAATATATGCAAATTCAGCAATTATTTTTGTTCTTCCAATTACCAAAACAAATAGTAATAGGTATTTCATGACGCCTCGACTAAGGTAGTTTATCATTTCTAGGTTTGAAAAGGGCCAGAAAATAACCGACATCGAAATTCAGAAATTCTTCACTCAAACAAACAAACATACGAGTACTCATGCAACTAGCCTCTGTTGAAAGTCTCTCAGTAAATTCATTATACACACAAAAAAGCGGTGAATTAGAAAGAAACAGCAGTAAAGATAGAGACAGACCTTCTAGGAGCCGAAGAGTTGGAAGAATCAGTCAAAGGTGGTTTCTCCTCCTTGGCTTTAGCGCCCGATCGCAGTGGATATCGAAGAAGCTTCGATGATGATGATGATGATCTCTTTGAATTCGCTGCAAAAAAGAAGAAGAAAAAACCCTAGCAGTCAGTCACATATATACATACAGAGGCGCGAATGTATACACACAATCATAAATCATAAATAAATGAAATTAAAAAGTGAAGAGTGATACCAGAAACAGTGGATTGATCTTTGCCGGTAACTTCCATTGAGAATTTTAGGTTTTCCGGAGAGAACTGAATGAATGATCAGCGAAATAAACGGAGGAAATGATAGAATAGAGTTGTGAATTTAGGGCTTGACTATATATACTCACAAGAGATAAGCGCAGTGGCGTTGGGCGGGAAATGTTACAACTGCTTCAAAATCAAATTTCAGAATACTGTGGAAACGGCTCTTCGGGTTGGGCCCGTCTAGTGGGCCCAATGAACACGCTCATATCATGCAGCTTTCAAATTTTGAATACTCTCACTTACCGTTAATGCCTGAGTTAGCAATCGTACTTATATTACAAGTCAGGATTAAGCACTAAAACTTAGATTTTCCCATATTTCTCCATCAATGTAAAAAAAGAGAAGGAAAACGAAAAGAAAGCGCTTTCCGTATAAAAGGAGAAGCAGCAAAAGGACATTAATGTAAATGAAAATTTGTATTTCAAATCTTGAGCAAAATCAAATGTTTCCTCTTTATTCGTCGTATTACGTCACATTCTATGTCTTTCTTTTTCACTCTCAATTTCTCATAGGACCCTGCTCCAACGAAACAAATAACATTTCTGTTTCATTTGTTTGATATCATTCCCACTAACTTGGTATTCAAGCGTTCTTTTCTTTTTTTTTTAATCGTCATGATTTGTTTAAGGTTGGTTAGAGTAATTAATAATAATTATAAATCTTCTATCCTACTTATATGTCAGTATTTCTTTTTTATTTGGAGAGTTTAAGAGTTTTATTTTAATACAAAATTTTCA